GTGTTCAGCTGCAGCGTATACATCTCTCCTGTTCAAACAGGGATCAGCAGAGTTGATCATTTTTAAAGTCAGCTCCTTCATGTGTTTTTTTTGCATCAAAAGACTCAAAAGATGATGCAAACAATAAGCAATTCACGCAAACGATGTTCAGCAAAATAGGTTCCAGAAAATACCGTTGCTTTATACTTGCATTTATATGTCAGAAGAGTTTAAAGTGATTTTTTTAAATGCTGCCATCAAAGCCAAAGTGTTTAAGAAACCCGAGGTTAAAAGGAGGAGTTACAAACCCTGAAAACATGCCAAAGATTTAATAGAGATCTGGGCACTCGTTCCCTAAAGCGCAAATGTGCTAAATGCGGACCTAAATTTCTCTTTTGCGCTTTAGGGGTTTTACTATTTTCAAAAAATATGTGTGGATTTGCACTTTCTAAATTAAGAGTTGAGTAGAGCTAAACGCAAATAATGTTTCACGTTCAAACGTCAATTTCATCTAAAGCAAAGCTAAAAAGCCGTCTAGTCTCACTACGTTTTGTAGCCACATAATTCATTATAACTTCGTTATCATTTTCTTGAACAATGAAGGATAAAGCCATCTCTACTTAACACAATAAATCTCCACTGTGAGGAAACAGCGACCCCTCGGTCTGCATTGCGTTCACAGAGCTTTATACTCTGAATTCTGTCTCTTCTCGGTGACGGTTTTCACTAGTAGAGACTGTAGTGTTCCCACAATTCTTTGCGTGGCAGGAAGCAAACAATTTCTTCACTGGGTGGCAATCCACCTGCGGTTCTGATCTGCAGAAACACACTCAGCTGTGCATATTGTCCTATCTCCTCTCTGAGGAACACCACAACAATAAATATTAAATAAATAAATAATAGTAAAGAAAGAAACACAGAACAATTTAAATTCATGCTCTTATTTTGAAAAGAATGGAGTTCCTGTTCTGTGTCCTGTAGCCTACCCAGAAAGCATAGCTTCAGTTTTACTACAAACAGTTTAAAATTACTAATATATCTGCATGTTTTCTTACTGAAGCTCTGCCATAAACATAAGAAAATGACCAAGAAGCAGCAGAACTAGCAATCCATAGCTATTTTTTTTGTTTTACAGCCATGATTTAAAAGTCTGCTTCTACGAATCACCTCCCCATTCTGCGCCGATATGCATCTGTCAAAGAAAATGAACTTACCACTAGATGGTAGTAAAGTGCTAACTTTTCTCTTACCTGAATGTTTCCTGGTAAATGGAGATTTTGTTGCGCTTTATATTAGCTTCTGCTAAGTTTTATTGAGCATATGTGCTTTTGAACTTGCGGACCTAAATAAATTGACTAGCACTTTAGAAACTGCAAAACTAAAATTTAAATTAGTGCTGCCCACCACTGGAAAGATCATTCAAAAGCGAGGGATGGAGGAAGAGTTTATTGGTGATCTTCAATGTGTGAGATTTTAAATCCATTTTTTCGAGGACGCCATGTTGCCCACTGCCTTCAGAGTCTGAGTTTTAATCTAAGATCGTCTTGTATTAGAAAACATCAAGAGTTAAAGTGCCTGTGACATCAAATTTTTGTATTAAATGTGAATGTGTTTTTGGAAAGAGGAGATTGATAACATATTAAAATAGTTCTTTATATTTTTTTCCTCATATAACCTTCTGTGGTATTTCGGTTTTCTTTTTAAAGGTAGTGCGACCCCTGC